CCGAATTCCTATCAACGCTCGACTGTACTGCGCAACAGTTCGTTTTCTCTTACTTCGTAACGCTGAAACATGACCAATATAGGTAGAAGAGATGAAAAGGCTCCAAGTCTCCCACCACTTATGCTTTCATAGCATAGGCCGTATATCGTGGAACCACTATCTCAGTAGTGTAGATGTCAGGCGTCGAGTTTTAGGTAAAAGAGGAAATTCAGTTAATCACATTGAAACTTTCATCAACTCTGGTGTCTGGGATATGTGTTATGCATGCCTCGTCCCACGATGTTGGGTGAAGTAGGCTCAGACCGGAACAAGGTTAGAGGTGGCTAAACTAAAACATGATATCCAATCCATGAAGTTTCGGTTGGGTATTATGAAAATCGAAAAGAGTATATGCTTAGGCGTATTGCTCCCTTGTTATTTTGGCAACGACAAGATTACTTTAATTGCTCTATTCAGATAGGTTAATTGATCTATGTTAAGGATTCTAAGGGCTAATTTAGTTGTTTTTGGTGGTCACCGACAATTGTTCTTCATCATGAAATAACGCATATATATATATGTATATATTATAGTTGTTTTACTCAGAAATCTCTTAAGGGAAACTCGTATCTTGATCTACTTACGTTAAAAATTCGGACAACCATCTCAGTATGTTTGGTGTACTTTTCTCATCTGTAATATGTAGGAAAATACCTCGTGAGTAGTCTGTGTCAACTACTGGTGTAAGGATATTATAAGCTATGACCAGTAGCTGGTATTAAGATCAATCAGTCAAACTCATTTCTCGTAAGAACCTACTACGTCGAGTGGGTTTTGTGTTTATTCGTTCCTCTTAAGAATATGACTCATTAAATTTTTCATTGTACACTAACTGCTTTATGTCTTTCTGGAGTGACACTTGACTCACCTATTTTCGGTTATACCAAAGGATTTTTTTAGAAAGGAATAAAGCTTTAAATCGTGTTCCGTGTCTTGACTGTAGCTGAGCGTAAACTGTATCACCAGTACTACTCATGAAAATTAAGAATGTCAGTAAATCATATCCTACAGATGGGTAGTAAAGTAGTGAGGTTGCGACGTTGCATCAATTCTAATGGACTTGTTGCAGACGAAGTCTTCACCGGATACAAAGGGTCTGTCTTATATCGTCAATTTACGACATTCTTAGTACCGAAAAATATTTTTCTACAGGTTAAACAACGAGCTTACTGCACAGCAATTAATCCTGTCCTAACGTACAACTATGAAACATAACTGCTGAAAAAGGGTATGAAGATATTTCAGATTTCTGACTGTAGGCATCCTTGTAGCGTTGCTTATACACGATGGAGAGTGAACAGTGTAGAGGTAAGAGAGCAAGTGGAAGGCACGGAAAATAGTTCAGTCGGTGAGCTTATCAACTTTCACCGACCGAGGTAGCATGGGCATGTGTCACGCATACCCGGCCACCACCTACCTTGACATATGACATTAGCCGAACTAAGATCATGTTAGAAGAAAGCTGAAGGTGACCAGACCAATGTACGACAAGTGACTTCTCCAGGTGTTGGTCTGAGTTATGATGGGAGAATCAGGCTACTTGACTGGGTTTTCAAGATTACGAGAATCAATGATTAAAGATGGTTGGTGATGTGGCTTAGAATCAGTCACAATTTTACTGATATATCCGCTCTTTATCGTCAACATTCTGAGTATTTTTTTGCCTTCAATTTATCCTCATACTCTTTTTGGTTTATCTTAATATCATTCTATATATGTTCGTTTCTTTCTACGCTGTTAGCAAGTGTGCGAACTTTAACTAACTCACTAATGTGCTGGTTTCTCTGTTGAGTTTCCTGTACACAAAATCCCAAGAAAATAGGTACTGATTATTTCTACTGGGTGCATCATCAACTCTACACCCGTCGAAACTGGAGGTCAAAAATCTTAATTTCATCTTTGAGTTTAAAGAAAGTTACTTACGGTAATATATGTCACTTTAAATCATCACCTGCCAAGGACAATAATCCTCTAAACTACTTCTGAGTGTTTAAGATGACCATCTTCAGGAAACAGGCAAAGAAGTATGCTGAGGTGCATGTTGCACGCATCAGTTTGACACATGGATAAACAAATTACTTAACTATTGTTCGAATGCTTTAAAACTCTTACCAGTATCTACTGGTAAATCTTCCATTTTAGGTAAGAAAAAAAGAAATGATTTACTTTCTTGGACTGCAAATGGAACGAGTTGTCACTCTGACACTTTCTATTTTCCTCGAATGACAACCATTCATCTGAAGCGGTCTCATATATCTAGCTCTGATGTTGCCATTTTGCCTTTGTACTCCAGTCATCAATGGTTGGTTGACTTCACTGTTTGTGCCCTATGTGTATATATAATTAATGAGATTGCCTACAATTTTATCATTCCATGGTATGAAGTTTACTACCGAAACCAAACTACATTACCTGATGTTAGCACAAAACAACACTTTTCCTATCCTGCTTCTCTTGATGTACGTATCAATCTGAGTCTTGTTTGGATAACATTAAGCCTTTGGTTCACTCTTCGTGTGCTCATCTCCTTAACCGCAATATACTTTCGATCAAAAGACTGTGACACAAAGACCGAATCTCGATCTCCCAAACCCACTACAAATGGTACATCTACAAACATGTATTCAGGTGAATGTATACTCATCCTTGCTGCTGCATTTTTCTTTCTTGTTGTTGCAACTCTGTTTCTTTCCTTGGATGGAACATTTGTGGATTTCGGTCTTCAAGCTGCATATGAAAACCTGACTATTAGCAATGCTTCATCGTCAGGTATACCACTCATTAGTTGGGGTGCATTCCATTTCATCCTTGCCGTACTGGCTTGTATAATTGGTGCACTATTTGTTTATCCTGGAATAAAATTTGGGAAGATTTACTTAGATACTGTTACGTGAGTTTTAATTTTAACTGGTTATTAAGATCATTTCTTCATATTCCAGTACATTAAGTTACAATTATCAAAAACCAATTTAGGATGTTTTTAAAAGAGTTCAGCGCTAGGTTTTACGTGAACTATCCAATGATAAAAAAGTATTCCATATTCCACTTTAATTTGGTGAAGCATCGTTGCATAGAACACTAGCTCACTTTTTCTGAAATAACTTAGAAATATTTGTATTATTTACACATAGTGATGTGTTTAGCTATCAGTAAGTTTGATTATAGGCTTAGAGATTGCACTGAACGAAATTAATCCCTCTTTTACGAAACTATAAAGACGAGTTCATTTACTAGACTAAAATTTTGTTGAAGATGACAAACACATATCTTAGTATCTTCACAAAGTTGAAGTTGGTCAAAAAGTGATTCTTTCAGTACTGGAGGTGACATGTCGATTGACACTTTCTAGGCTTTACACCATAAAAGAGATATCTGAGAGTATCTGGAAATTAATTTAACTTGGTGTCGTCAGTTCTTTTTAGCTCTTGCGCATGATCTTACAATCCTAGCTTCATCACTCATGACGTCTTTGGAAAAAATACGTAGTTTCTTTTGTTGTTGAGGAGACTTTATCGTCAATGACGAAATGTCTTGGGGAAGAAAGATTCCGTATTTTATAAATTTAACTTTGATGAGCCCCTGCATTTCAAGATGAATCAGTAGAATTGGTGGGAATGCGTATCACTGATGCTTAGATATTTTCACTATCTTATTCTACTAACTTAATCCTTAACCTACTAATAGATTAGATCGCGCTAGTACCCTACTCTCACTTTACTATCCTCCATTTATTTGTCTCGGATGATGAAGGCGTCGATAGATGTGTGCCCGAGTCAATGTAGTCCGTTTCATATACTGCAATGAATAACTCAGATAATCAAATCAAGATGACACTTATTAACCAGGGACCACACACGAAACCGGTTATTGTGCTACAATTCACTTTTGCTGCGAAGCTTTGAATACTTGGGTCAACCAAGCACGTTTCAGCGACAAATGCACTAACAGTACGAGAGAGGAAGTTACGCTGTATCAAAAGCATGCGTCCCCACAAAGTCAACCTCCCAAGTTAAACGTCCAAAAGAGACTATTTGGATTGGGAAAACTCCGCGTTCTACAACTTTAGTGGATTCATTTAATATCACCTGCGTTTTTTTTTCTGTAGAAACATTGATTACTCAAAGTTTGGAGAAATAGCCTGTAAAAACTTAAATTCATACTAAAAAGTTCATACTTAGTATACGTCATGCATGTTTTCCATTAATTTCCAGTTTCGTCATTAATCACTAGTTACACACTAAATTGGTTTGTTCGAAAATTTCAGTCTTGATTAAATTTTTTTAAGTTTCACTCTTTGTGTGTAAAATACCAACATGCTTTAGATGACAAGTTTTTTAATGCCAAAATGCAATGGTATGAAATCATTTCTCTTTATGTTTTTAGACAATCTTCAGCACCAGTAATCAAAAGGTTTCTACTGCATATAAATTTTATATGTCCAGTAATTCCTATTCTACTTTGGCTAATTCCAATCACTGATCATATTTCTCACTCATTAATCATGCTTACACATAGTAATTCAGTAACTGGGCAGCCTTTTCTCTTGATGGTTGTCAACTTGTTGTCTAATTTGTTCGTCAAACACCTAGATAGTATTCGATTACTTGTATCCATGATAGTTGTACTTCTCCGTCTTGCCACTACTCGCTGGATAATACAGGTATGTGTATTCTTTAGTTTTTGTTATGTCTCATTACTGCAGATATTGAAGATATATGTGTCACAAGATTCTATCAACCTCACTTTTTGCAAGAAAGACTCAGTCATTTCTAAATTACTTGTAGTTTTGGAACTTTGAATAATACAAGTTTTGTACAATATAATGAATCAATTACTAATTTTTAAATCGCATTAATGCACGTTAAGTTCGCATATTTGTTTATGAAATAAGTGGGCCTAATTATTGGTGGTATGGATGAAGAAATTATGTAGCACGAAAGTATGTTTCATACAATCGACTCCGTTATTCTAAATTTTATCTGTAGTCTGAATGGGGCACTGCAGCTTGGACTGAGATTTTGAAAAATAAGATGAAAGTAGTAGCGAAGAAACAAAGGTTCGCACTTGTTATACTCAACTATCTGTATGGTTATGAACCTCACAGTAGCGATGAAACTGAGTGACTCATTTGCTATAGGTACTGCGTATGTTCCCCTAATATTGTTTTCGTTTGTTAACCGTTCCGATTTACTAACGAAGATAAAACTTCCCTAGTTATAAATATAGGGGACAATCCTCATTTCTAAAGTCCTGCTTCTAAAAGTTATTCGGAACCTAGTCAGTGACTGATAACAAAGAAATTGAAAAAAGTTGACAGACAGCAGGTGTAACCGAGAGTTGATTGTACTTTCAGTTTCCATAAAGATTTGGAACAGAAACAAATCTACTGCTCCCTAGCGCAAACATATTTCTCAATCTAAAGGCGAAACTTATCTTCTTTGTCCAACAAACTCTACACTATTGCTTGTCATTCGAAGGAGTACCAAGCAAGCATATATCGTGTAGAGCTCCTTACTCAAAATTAGTCGTATGTGAACAGACAAATCAATTTGATAATGGTTTCTGATCAGCATTCATCTGTGCAATGCCACTATATGCTTCCAAAGCCTCTAATTGAAATGATATTGGAAGACAATACATGACTTGAAGATTTATGAAACGAATTGCTTATTTGTGTGGAAAATATTTAACATATTCAATGTAATTGCATATTAAATTTGCTTATTGGGTATATCACCTAGTGGTACAGTATTATTCACTTTGGGGCTGTGGCTCATTGGTGTTGGCACTTGGATTTCAACCAGTGGGTTGCGGGTTAGATACCTGCTCTTCCTACCAAGGTCAGGAAAGCCAGGTAGTATCACCAGCTCTCACACCATAGGTGCGGTTGGTTGCCTACTGCATGAATATGCATCTGGTTACTGAGTACATGTTTTTGAATGTTATGTACTGTATGACTTTTCGAGCGCAATTTATTGCTCGTATTCATATCACTACTGGTGTAAACAATTTCTTATTGAACCGTTGACTCGTTTTGGATATATATATATATATATATATATATATATATATATATATATATATATATATATATATATATATATATATAAATTACTCTGAATGAATTTTATCTTCTTTTGTTTGCTAATAGGCCTATCTGAATTCTGCACAGGAGAAGTTAGATAGATTTAGTCGTGAACCAGGGCGAACTTCGAACAAAGAAGTACAGCGATTGGTTGCCAGCATTTTTTATTGTCTGAATCTAGTCTCACTTCAATACATTGCACCATGTTTTCTCTCCTTATGTCTTTTATGTCTATATAAAAATCTAGCTGGTCTCTCATGGTTACCGTGTCATCATCATCATCATCATCATCGTTATTCTTCCCTACCTGATACGTCATATGCGATGAATCCTGTATATGAAATACACAATTTAACTAACCTTTTGTCAATGGATTTTTTAACCGATCAACGCAATTTGACCTCTTGGTCAACTGCATTTATGCTGGCTAGATCTATTATCAGTCAAACTATGGATAATTTCATTGTTCGTGGAATGATTATTTCACGGGGAGTATTCGGATTTCTGGTATGGTGGACATTAGTCAGTTGGCAGTCTATGAGTTTCCTAGGATTAGCCTACCATCGGTTCGCAAATGATTGATAAAACTTACTCGAGTAACTTCAGCCTTTCGCTTCTTGTGTAACTGTAATATTTCTTCTTAATTTAGAATCTATTTAACTAAATAATATTAGAACTTTTTTACAAAATAGTTGTTTGTTTTATTATTACGACGTCAGTTCCTTATTTTGGGGTTTTGTTTTGATGCAATCTCTACATCCCTGTATGCCTTTCTGTCTTTAGTTAATTTATAATGTCCTTTAGGTTGCATGACTTACTTTTTTCATCTTTTTCTTAGATGAAAATGTGTAGTCGTAGTATACAATGAATAGAATATCATTATCCATTTTATGCAAGAATTATAAGCTAGTCTTGACTAAAACTGAGATCAGTATTAAAAGAGGATAGAACAATTGTTTCGCTGTATGTTGATGTCATCTTGTTTTTCAGCAAATTCGTCTCTAGTAAAAAAGAATATTTTACAGCGTAAAACTATTGAAATTATATTTTCGTTGAGACGTCTATCAGTATTTCAGATGATGTATCTTTCTTATGACTGATCAAACAGTTATAACTCAGTGCTAATCGTTTGAATTATATTAGACACCTTAATTTTGTAAAAGAAAAACCCAATGTTTTACAATTCAGGTCTTCATCGTCGGTGATGATGAATTTCACACATCTTCAATGAGTTCCTAATCTTAGCAGTTACCAGAGGCATTAAGATATATCAGAAGGTTACGGTTATTGTGTAGCTGTAGCCCAGTGGTTTAGAGAGATGACTATCAGCCATTGGGTCACGGGTTTGAACCCTGAACCACCTACCGAGGTTTGGGCAGCCAGGTGGTATCACTAGCCCTCACACAATAGGTGTGACTCATCGCTTACCGCACGGATGTGCAAAACGTGGCCGAGTGCGTTTCGTATAGCTATTGAAAAGGTCAAGTTACACAAATAGGATTTTAAATTATTTGTCGAACTACGAAACTCTTTATCTTTTGTATTCTAAGTAAACTATTTTATGCACCTATGCAAAAGTCTGGACTTCTTCATCGTTGTTAAACGATATTCTATGGAGAGCATTAGCTTCTGATTCAGTATGAACCAGTAAGGTAATGAGTAGTAATGCGGAAGTCAAAGAGCCTGAAGTACTAAGTTTGAATAGTTATGTGTCAAAAGTACGAAAAAGTTGGATAGTTGCTTAGAACAACTGCCCAGATATTTGGTGCCATAACTCATTGGTTTTCATAAGCATTAAGTTTGTAATAAAAACTGTAAATTACGTTGTCTTTTGCAGCCAATATAAAAGTGTTGACCAGTCAGCATTCTCACCCTACCTGGGATTACTGCGTAAATATGCAAGTCGTCGCACAGCGCCAACACATCAAGGTAGAAAGCACCAAATTTAAAGACGTGAAAATGAGAAAGTCGTAAAAGCAGAAAACGAAGGGATCAAACAATAGCGAAATTCAGTACGACGACAATCATCAAGATAATATGTAGATTCATCTGTGCCAACGAGATCGATTCTGAGTCATATCACCTACAGTCTTCACCCACCGATGTTGGTTACCACGATGATCCCAACCAGGAAGTTTACATTTCCCTACATGCCTTAGACTGTCAGTCAGAGACTTGATAAACTGATGTCGTATTTTAGTCTGGACACCTCTAACCTTATTCCGGTCTGAGCCTACTTCACCCAACATCGTGGGACGAGGCATGCATAACACATATCCCAGACACCAGAGTTGATGAAAGTTTCAATGTGATTAGCTGAATTTCCTCTTTTACCTAAAACTCGACGCCTGACATCTACACTACTGAGATAGTGGTTCCACGATATACGGCCTATGCCATGAAAGCATAAGTGGTGGGAGACTTGGAGCCTTTTCATCTCTTCTACCTATATTGGTCATGTTTCAGCGTTACGAAGTAAGAGAAAACGAACTGTTGCGCAGTACAGTCGAGCGTTGATAGGAATTCGGACATAACAGCGGCACGACAACTAGTGTCAGTTGGCCACATTCAAGCGAGCCTTTTGTATTCCTTGCAGAAATTTCTTCAAAAATGGTCTACATCTTTCCGACAATAAGCATCCTGTTTTGCACCCGTACTTCACCTAATAAGTTGAGGGGGGGGGGCTGACGCACATAATAATATTATACAAGATATATCTAGTTGTTCAGATGTCGATATCGTGGGAGAGATTAGTCCTAGAATTTAGTCAGTACACTTTGGAATTGTAACTATGGATTTGTGATCTCATTTCCAATCGCAAGTTGTAGATGTGAAGGTGGAATATTAAACCACTTTTATCCATATTGTTAAATTTAAAGTTGACTTATGCTTTGTTTTACCATGAACTTTTCTGAAAGATATTGGGGTATACAAACTTCGATACTAAAAACAAATACGTAGATTTTGCTTCAACTGAATGCTAAGTTTCTTATTAGCAGACACCCAAGTCTAGAGTTTCTCTGTTAACTACTATGAAGTAACACTAGTCAAGTAGCTTTTTCACCATAAATAACAGAAAAGTCAAGGTTAACTAGTTTAAGCAAGTTGAATTCACCTTATTACTGGAATCGATGGACCTCTTCATCGAGATAGTGTTCACTAAACACAGTGAGAAGCATAAGACATGGAATGAAGAGCTGCAACGAAGACTACACCACTATGGTTTGTAGGAAGGAATGTACCAAACGTTCTGGTTGCCTCAGCATGTCACAGTTCAACCGACAGTTGGGACGGAAAGGGGTTCAACTCCCAGGAAAGGGAATACTAGCTGTAACGCAAGAAATGGGTGTTGTAGCCTTCTCCATGCAGCAGGCCTGTAATGTATCAACAATCTGTGTGTCTTTAGTTGAACCAAACGACATACGTTTTAACTGGATTCAATTAAAGTGGACACTGTTGTCCTTGCATTTCCTAACTATCTGGCGTAGACATTTTTTCTTAGTACAGTAATCTTAATTTCATCCAGTCTACATATGTCAACTCTCACTCATCTTCATACTGTTTATTTCATTCAACTGCTGTGCTAGAGTGAAAAACTTAAATGCATTAGTCCCTAGATTACCACGTTAAATGCTTCGTACGGGGGAAATTTATGTAATGTATCAACAATTAGAATTCATGATCGGAAATACAATTAAAATTAGAACTATTCACTGATGTACCACTAGTCAGTATGTATACAATCTAGAAAGTTAAAACAACCTGTGCTATGCTTGAAATCCTAGTGAAAAGAAATTTTCATGCTACTCTTTAAATTCATTTCGTAATTGTCTCATGACAAAGTTAGCCCGAACCGAAATTTCAAAGGGTGACTTCTAAAGTAAGAAAGTCTGAGTGTCCTTCATCAACGCTGCACTTTTCAGGCTAATTCGACGTGTATCAATTTTAGTTTGTCTAATTTTGCGGTTTTTAAATTGAATCGAACTACACCCTATTGTGACTGAACAACTATCCACTTTGAAGATGATTCTCATAAAATACGTCATAATCAAGGCAAATTTTCATAAACAAGGAACATTTAATAAATCGTGTTAGTGAGTTGTGTGTTTATTTTTGACTGGTTCTCATAAGAAGTTCTGAATTTCTAATAGAGGCTTATACATTATGGACTAGATCAAGTAAGGATAGATAATCGCCGTTAACACTAAACGATTGTTGCGAATTGATTGAAGTTGAAAAATATGAACTATTGAATTGCGAACCAATAGTTCAGCAGTGATTACCTCGCCGTAGGTTTTGCACTTGCTATTCTGTATATTTGAGAATGATCATTGCTAAAGATTCATGAAACGAAATAAAACTAGTGTTTTATCCTCTCAGATTTTTGATTGTTCCGTAGTAAGTATCCTTTTTTAAAGAAAGTCATATCTAACTCAGTTCCTGAAAAATTACTTATTTTGGTTGTATTTATTTGAGGCTACCTACTTATATATAGCTAGCATGTTCATCATCACCGAAAACTGGTTTCCTGGGAGTCTATTCAACTTCAAATGGAATATGGCGTCTGAAGTAATATACCTCAAGAGATTTCTGGTATTATGCCAATTTCTGTACACACAGTAATCGCCCGCACACATTTTTTCAACTGTAGCTAGTTAACTGCTACTAATGTCAACTTACCACCGTTTCCTTTCTATATTTTACAAAATATATGATAACTGTAGTCAACTTCCTTGTATGATAGTTTAATCATTTCCCTAATAAGTAAGTCATTATTAGGTTTGAACCATGTGATTACCTTGTCAACAAATTAACTAGTTTTTTCACAGTTTCGCTTCTCTCTGAATATGTTGACAATCCCTAATCTCCAACCTATTAATAGATTTCTGCAAGATTACCTTACAAAAGCCAATTTCCTTAATTTCATTCCTTCACCTATCTTTGGGTTACCGTTTATTTTGATCACAATATTTCTCTCTAGGTTCTTATTGGGCTTCCAGTAAGCCATTTAGTTTGTTTACCTTAAAGAGTGTATACCTTTGTTGTTTTATGCATCTTATTCTCCGGTTTAATATCTTTTCATTGGTATTAGTTGTGCAGAATTGAGGAGGACTTTGTTATTAGTTAAGTTGTATAAGTGGAATTGGTGTCGAGGAGTTTCATTTCGTAACACTTCATGCCAGTCTATCCAAAACTTGTTGAACTACTCAGGATTTTAAAATAGTATGCTCCTAAAATAAAGTGGTTTAACTGGTTTAGAGAATTTCGATTGAATTCATTATGCTCTTAAAAATTACTGCCTGGATAAATGTGGAGTATCCTTGATTGATTAAAAAATTCTTATTACTCTCTACTCTGAGCAATCAGGAATTTATTTCACTGGCTAAATTCACTGTGTGGTCTTTGAAAGGACCGTGATTATAGTGGTGAGTAAATTGTCAACTGTCATTCGTAATAAGAATAAGATTGAGAGCCAACCAGTGATGTGTGATCTTGGTTTGGTTGGTCAGTTTTTTTTATCAACATTTACAGATCCAAAAACTATGTAATTCCGAAAATACTCATTTAGTTCCGTAAAAGCATCCAGTATTAAATAATTTACACTTGTTTTGTGTCACTACTTTCAAATATGGTATTCTATTCACCAAATGAGAGAAGTTAACCAGAAATTAAAGTCCTGTTACTCAGTTGAACTGCAAGTTGTTTATACAAATTTGATTCATTGACGGCCATAATTAGCCACAAAACCTTCGGTGGTGAAGTGTCTGGACGAATAAGAATTTTGGTGATTATATATTTATGCGTTTCATAAGTGCCAGTAATTACGAAATATGAATTCCTGGCTTTTTTGTGTAAGTTGTTTCACACAACGGCTAAGTCACATCAGGACTGAACAGAACTATAAAACTG